TTTGCTAAGCTGATTGTTGCTTTATATGAGCTAAAATTATCTTACCATTCATCTGTTTTGCGTTTGCTTAGATACTCAAAGCTCATGTATGCTCCTAAAACCTTCCATCAATATTACGTAAACCATCTAATCAATTTCGGACACATATATAGTTATTACTTATGTTGGTTGTTACTTCATTTCTTTCCCTTGCCAATGTCTATAACTTTAGACTATGTTATACCTCAATGCTATATTTTAATAAGAATACGGTTGTAATATTGGTTTATATTAAGTTCTACTAGAAAGAAGCAAAATGCACTACTCAGTAATTTATTTACATTTTTTTTCAGTCAAAGCAAGGTATTTATCGATTCCGTTAATTTTTAAATACATCAAATTATTAATCATTGGCTACCGCTTAGTTCAATATTTTCAAGTTAATTAATTTGCCAATTAAGTAAACGATATATATATATATATATATATATATATATATATATATATATATATATATATATATATATAACATTGTAAATTACGACATCATTTTAATTAGTCCTGAGACAATAGCTGGTGCATGAGTAAATCTCCTACTGTCTTACGTTCTCATTTGCAGTAAACCATTTTATTTTTGCTAAATTGAACAAGTAGTGAATAAGAGTTCAATTTCACTGTCATAAAAATCCATACCAATAGTCAGAGTTTTTTGGCAAGATTTTGTTGTACGGGATGAGGCTGCTAACTCCAAACCCAACACTCCGCACTTAATCTGGGCTTGGAACCGGCAGTAATACAGAAGGTCTACTTGCGCAGAACCCAGGACAGAGTCGGTTGGAGAATCCTGGTCCGCGCTCTATGCTTCACTAAGAATAAAAGGTGTAATGAAGTATATAAGTAGTAGTATCGGCTTTTTTTCAAGTTCTTATTTATTCCTGTGTTAGTTCTTACATTATTGAATGTTATCTGTTACTGATATTAATGTAATCAACAATGAACATAATCCCAACATCCCATTTGTTGATAAGCATAGATTACAGTAAGCTTCTCTTAATTTTTGAGGGAAACAACTCAGTCAACTGTAGACGATAATATATTTTGTTTCGAATAATATGATCATTTATGGTGGAGTTCCATTCTTTGAGTTGGATAGCTTGATTGTGAAGCTTTCATTCTTCTTCTGATAGTTTATTACAACCTCAAATGTTGTTTCGTAATAATTGTAAATGCATAAATGGTTTTAACAGTATTTGGAAATGGAAGTTAACAAAAGGATACTATGAATAAAGAAGTGTTATTTTGTTTAGATTTGTCTAATAAGTTGTCACTTAAATAAAATACAGTCGGATTAATAATAATCAATTTTCAACTGGAATCTTCTCTTTAAAATGGATAATATTCATCATGATTATGTTATATCCCGATGAGAATAATGAATGATAACCGTTGGAATCTATTTCTAGACTAATATTATGTATACATATATTTACCGTATAATTTCTAAGTAGTTATTCATATTCGTGTTCCTCTTATCATAAGCTTTATTTTCAGCTATGAACTATTATTATATGATTTACCATTCTTGAGTTATGCCCAGTCTATCAATTACTAACTCCCACATTCACAGCCATATTTGACTAAATCTTGTACAAATGTTATTTCTTATTTTATGGTACGATGTGGTCTATTCAGTTTGTATATAAACCCAGTATATTTGAAATACATGATTCACATCTCAGAGGCTGAGATTGGTGTTCTGAACTTAACAGACAGGGCTAGGCAGGAAGCAGGACTGGTAAAGTCTTTAGACTGATAGTACGGGTTTTATACGTCATTGGTCCGGTCGATAAACCGCTGATCTCCAATTGACGGTATCATTACGTTATACATTGATAGGGGCACAAACCCACAAGTTATAACAGATTAAAAGGAATTCATACGATTATCCCAATCCATGAGATATTATCACTTCTAAACAAAATTTAGCAAAATGTAAATGAAACGTACACAACACACTTATGATAAACGTAACCAATAATCATTATTTTAGATATCTCTTAATGATATGAATTTAAATTTTAAGAAAATGACTTATTCTATGTTTTTTAATTGTTAAATGATGAAATTATTAGTTAGTTACATTAGAAAGTTTTCTATAACCTTTCAATTCTATAAGTAGTATGTGTAACAATAGAAAATAATTTGAAAACTTCTTAGTATTTCGTTTAGAAAACATTTTTATCGTTCTATCTAATGCTGATAATTTGACTTCTAGTAAATATAATGACCGTGATAAGAAGTAATCATGAATGAGATTATGACCATTTTCGTTATCTATTCATTCAATATAAAATCTATGTAAGTTATATATTTTTAGTTTTAAAGTATAATAATTGCAAAACAAACGTATGCATGAAAAAAACTAGTGAATGACATTCCTTCCTGGAATTTACAATCCAGTCTTTGTCTTTTGATATTCTTTAACACAGATAAAAAATTATAAAACATGAGGTGAAAGGTTGTGGTCATATATCGATTGGTTATTTGTGAATTATCAATCTGACTTTGTTTGATAGTCTTAAGATTTTACTCTGTCATATCAGATACATTAACGTTATTCTATATGTTATGTTAAAATAATTGAATATTTCGGTTTTTCTATTTTCTAGAAAAATCTGATTTCCTACTGTATCATTATTTTTTAATTTAAAAAAAAAAACATTGAATATTTGAATGGATCATATATTAGAATTACCAACTGATGAATCAATATTATAAAAGGCTAGAACTATGCTTTCAATGTATGAAAAAAGAAATATCAGGAAGAATAGTAAATCTATCTTAAGTACAAGCATTCATGGATTTTGATCATTTTTTTCTCCAACTGTTCCTATATTGAATGTTGTTAATGACAACGTTCATATGGGATCCTCAAGGCCAAAGTAGGAGAGGAAGACCAAAGAACATATTACGCCGAGAAATGGAAATAGACATGAAAAAAATGAACAAGAATTGGATGGAACTAGAAAAGAAGGCCCAGGACAGAGTGGGTTGGAGAATGCTGGTCGGCGGCCTATGCTCCATTGGGAGTAACAGACGTAAGTAAGTAAGTAAGTAAGTAAGTAAGTAAGTAAGTAAGTAAGTAAGTAAGTAAGTAAGTAAGTAAGTAAGTAAGTAAGTAAGTAAGTAAGTAAGTAAGTAGGTAAGTAAGTAAGTAAGTAAGTAAGTAAGTAAGTAAGTAAGTAGGTAAGTAAGTAGGTAAGTAAGTAGGTAAGTAAGTAGAGGTAAGTAAGTAAGTAAGTAAGTAAGTAAGTAAGTAAGTAAGTAAGTAAGTAAGTAAGTAAGTAAGTAAGTAAGTAAGTAAGTAAGTAAGTAAGTAAGTAAGTAAGTAAGTAGGTAAGTAAGTAGGTAAGTAAGTAGGTAAGTAAGTAGGTAAGTAAGTAGGTAAGTAAGTAGGTAAGTAAGTAGGTAAGTAAGTAGGTAAGTAAGTAGGTAAGTAAGTAAGTAAGTAAGTAAGTAAGTAAGTAAGTAATTCTTACGTTTATACACACATTAATACGAAATAAACCATATTAAATTATAAACAATTCATTTGAGATTTAAATAACAAATCATGTTTTTAACAACTAAATAATTCTATATATTTAAACACTAAATTATTATACAAGTAAATGTAAAAAATAAACTTTAAACAAAACATTCTTTTTATTTCATTCTTACACTATCATCATAATCATAAAATCTATCAAGATACACAAAATAACCATTATTGTTACCTATGTAAAAGTTACATTTTCAACTTAAAAAACTAACTTAACAACATCTTTTAGTACACAGAAATATACATTCCATATAGATATAAATTAATTTTTCTTATTTCATACATTTTACACAACTAACAGTTGCTACATTGATATCATGTATAGCAAAATATACTGGCATTAGACTATTTGTATATAATACATTTGAAATGAAGAAAAAAAGTCAATAACGATATACATTTATCCATTTATTGATTTATCTTTTTAAAAATATTGAATAATCATTTGGTTCAATAATTTAAATCAATACGTAAGAAACAACTAATATAATAATAATAATAATATTAATAATGCCTTAATTATTTTCATATAATTGGTTATTAATGTTTTATTCATAATATTTACCAACAATAAATGTGTCAACTACTAGTATTATGGTGTATATTACTTATGTCTGTCGATTTAAACAATATATAACATCAATCACAAATGAAATGCTTGTCGATAGATGGTTAAGAAGATCAAGTTGAAGGAAAAATAAAAATGATAGTAGAAATTAATTATGAATTGCAAAATAAAATTATACGGATAGTTAAGAACAGTTGACAGATAATTTACAAATAAAGTATTTAATGTATAAGTTTACGTATTTTATAAAGATATTCTATCATTTCATCTTTTGTGTTTTTAAAGAAAAAATATATATCAGATGGGTTTTGTGGGTATTATAGTGATTTCAATGGTTAAGATCATGAGTCAGTTGAAGCTGGACCATCATGGAAAACCTGGAAGCACTAAACGGCCAACGCGTCCTATTGTAGGACTCCTCAGCAGTACACATCCACGATCTCGCCTCCTGTGAGATTCGAACCCACAACCTACTGGTTTCGCGTGCGAACACTTAACCATTAGACCATTGAGCTGGCCAACATAAAACAGTGTTATTGTTTAACTTCAACCAACCCACGAAATTGAGCGACACATCCACCATTGTCTTTAGTGAGTTACAATCTCACAACAGACCTGGTTGAACTCCACTGGTCACTACTTCTCACTAGAACTCCAGGATATACCTGGTGAAGCCAATCACTCGTGAGCATATGTTGATTAATATCAGATGCTTCCAGGTTTTCCATGGTAGTCTAGCTTCAACTGACTCATGATCTTAACCATTGAAAATAATAATACAATAATTATCTTCCTCTAGAATTCTTATATATTACAATATGAATTAAATAATTATAAGTAATTCAAAATTAATTATGATGTATTAAAACATGTATTAAAACAATGAATTAAATATTTTAATTGTAAACGAAATTTTAAATTAAAAAAGAAATAAATTAATGGATTCGCGGCAGAATTAATAAAATATAAATAATGAAAAAATCGTCTTAAATGATATTTAATTTTAATTTTTAATATTTCATTTGAATTATTCATTAATAAATTATTATTTGTTATATTATATAATTGATGATTATAAAAATGATTATTTAAATTCATTTCAGTAATCATTGAATTATTATATAATAATGAATTTGTTTTATTCATTATATTATAATTATATATTAAATGTAATTGATTTGTTGTTTCCATTAATAATTCCCAATTGATAGGCCAAATAAATCGATTAGCAATTAATAAATTTGGTAAATAGGATATAATAAAACTAACTGTAATTAAAATAAATGTAATTGCACTTTTTATATGTCGATTATTTGTTAACTTTATATGATGATGATTAGGTTTTTTATATAAATTAAATAAATTTCGTTTTATTGATTTATATTTTAATTGATTATTATTATTATTATTTTGAATTGAAATAATTTGTTTAGATTGATTCATTTTATTTTGTTGTTTTATTGATTTTAATTGATCAAAATGTATAGATTGTGAATTGATTTCTATTGTTGAATCACTATAACTATGACTAAATTGATTTCGATGTTGTTTATTGCTTAAATGTGTTTGATTTAATTGTACACTTAAAAATCTTGATCTATTATTATGATTAAAACAAATAAAATCAGATTGTTTAACTGGTTTATTAATTATAACATCATGTTTTGGAGAAGTTGAAGGAGTATTTATTGGTTCAATAACTTTTATTTTAGGTCCAAATTTTGTTCTCCATCGATATTGATGTATCATAATGAATAAAAATAAATAACCGTAAAAGATACAAATGCAAGTGAAAATAAAACTGAATAAAATTAATATAGACAATTGGTAAATTTCATAATCACTTTGTGATATGAAACGTTCATCAGATTTACAATAACCATAATTTGTAAATGATGATATTAGGTCGATAAATTGTGATGTAAAATAAGCCAATGATGATTTTTTTGATGACATTGATGAGCTGTTAGAAATACTATCGTTCGATTCTGATTGGTTAGTTTTAAATAAACTATTTGATTCATGAAACATGGAAATAGCTTCTGAATCACTGGATACAAGTTTATCAACTGTACTAATTTTAAAATAACTGTGTACACCATGATGTAATCCCATTGGTATTGCCCATAGTATTCCTAAGATATATGTTCCAACGATTAGTCTCTTCATACACTTTTTTGTCATTATAACACATGGTATAAAACAAACTAACAACCAACGGTCCAAGGCAATTATAACCAAAAATAATGCAGAAACAGTTAGAGTGAATGATTTTAAGATCACATGTAGTCTACAAATAAAGTCATATGTTCTGGTTTCCCATACAATCAGAAAGATTGTTGTCGGTATATCAATAACACAGATAATCAAGTCATTTATTGCAAGAAGGACAATGAGAAGATCAGAGTTGAGATCTGTGTGCATGGCAGTACGTTTTGTAAAAATAAATTTTTTCGTAGTTTCCCTGTTTTTAGTACAATCATTTCCTGTTTCTATCGATTGGTGAATATTTAATGTTGAAGTATTATTGACACTTGTTACACTATTGCCTTGATTTCTTAATTCATTATTACTGATAGAATTAGACGATTGGCTAATTGGCATAAGACTGGAAGTTCTTGATAAACATACATCAAGATAAGGATTCAATCGTTGTTGACAAATATCTTGTCGGTACTGAGAACGTTTTTGATTTTGTTTAGGGTTTTCTGGTTGATTTTTACATCTTGAACAGTTACAAACAATACGTAGACAGTTTTCTAATAATTTGAAAAATCTTCTAAATATATGACGACCAATTGTATGTACTACTAACCAATTACCAATTAATCCAAAAATACTTATGCATACAAGAAAACAACTGATAATAATTAATGTTGGAATATAGTTTTTTAAAACAAGTTTTTGAATATTTTCTTCTTCTTTAGCAATGAGACTATTTAAATTTGATGATTGCATTATAATAAATTGGAAAGAAAATCTTTTCTTTTCTGAGTTATCATTTATGAGAAAAAGCTAAGTTTGTTTCCAAATATTCAGTAAATTAAATGATAATATATAATTTATTAGGAATGTAAGGGGAAATTTCAACCAATTAAACATATTTGAAATTTGATTCGTCAAATATAAATTATAATTTTTACTATTGGCGGTCATATTATTTACAATACTATGATATTTCACTTGGTATTGTTTGGCTTGTATCTTCCCATTGAGGTTTAAGACTGCAATTGATCAGTCTGTTATTGGCATATGTGCATACTGTGCATATGCCTCGATATTACCTTAATTCTATGATACTTCATAAAATTATCTATTAAACTGTAATTCATTTAATGATCTAAAAAACTTAAAAGAATTAGTTACGTGATTTATTGATATCAATATTAATTTATTATTATTAATAATAAAATTACAAATCGTTTACAGTAACTATTCAGTGTAGATTTGGAGAAATGATTCATTTTGATTAAGAGTATTATGTATAATAATGAATTGTTTGTTGATCAAAAGATCCAATTCATTTTTCTAACAAGCTATTTTGTATTCCACTATTATCAATAACAATAGCTTAATTTCATTTTATATTGTTTGTTTGAATCTTCACGTTAATGTTTAACACTGCAATTGATCAATCTGTAATTGACATATAATTAGCGTTCTGTGCAGATTGCCCCAATATTGCCTTAAGACACAAACATTATAGACAAAGATTTATGATGGCTAGCAGGACACGCGCTTCGTCCTTTAAGTAGGTGAGTGCATAATGAAATAGTGTTTGGAGCGAACAGTACTGGGTTTGAGTTCTAGAGTGAACATCAACTCTAGAATACAGTCATATCCATCTGATGAGTCCCGAATAGGACAAAAGGCGCATTCTGGATCTCACTGCTTGCCACCATCCATATTTACTTATAATGGCCTAATTTATTACCATAAATTGTTATAGTAAGGAATTTTCAAAACTGATTGGGCGATATGCAAGTAAATTCCTCTTTAATTTACATTCATATTGTTATTATCCAAAAAAACTACGATTATTCAATAGTCCAGTATCTGCTATTCATCCATAATAAAGAGTTTATTAACAATTTTGTTACTAAGAATGCCTTTTTTCATCCATCAGATGTTGAATGGATGAATTCCAACATATTCGTTTCACTTTTCCAAAGTGTAAATAAGCTGGCGAATATGACTGGTAGTATTTTTATTTGAGATTTTCATTATTTAACATTTCGAAAGGGTGTAAGTCACTCAGGATACAGTGTGAGTATGCACAATAAGCATTCATAATCATTCGATTCAAACAGAAAATACAAAGGGAGGACAACTACAGCAATACTAGAATTTAAAAAAAGATGATCCGAACGTTTTAACAGGCATTAAATTATAAAACATACAATAAACTGTCATGACTGTACAAAGTTTTTACTTTGAATGGAAAAAACACTGCTATTTGTAAAATATAGTAAGGGAGACAAAGTCCATGGTAGATAATCATTTAAGTCACCCTAAAAGAGCAACTATTTCCACTGATTACGACCAATTTTATATCTATTTTATTGATATTTTAATGAATTATTAGGGAATATCACATATAAGCTAAATAAAGGGTAATATCTACATTAAACTTACAAAGGATCACTATAAAACCCAAGTTTTACATTAAACTTAAGTCAATTCATGCTAAATTAATAATGCGAATGCCACATTGAATAAATCGTACACTTTTATAAAGTGTACATTATACTGAACAAAATATCACACTGAATTAAAAAATGATCTCACGTTCCTACTCCATCCCAATATTCACACAATATTTTTTGGACTGAAGCAAATTGTTTAAAAAACATACTACCTTTATTTCAAAGATGTATAGTTAAATATATGAACTAGTAGATTGCGATTCAATGAACTGAAGGTCCGATTTTCCATCCTTGATGTGGCAATGAATTCATACTATTAGAGAGTTTGAGAAAGTAGAACAAAATAACTGTTGGTCATTTTCTAGTGTTCAGTGGTTTTTCAAGTGATGATGGTTTGTGATATAAACTGTCCCAGAAATAAATTATTTAGTTAACGATATTATTATTTAATAATGGACGACTACTTATCATCACTCCTTAGGATTGAAATCACTCGCTTATACAGAAAGATTGATAAAATATTCTTTTCATGATGATAAATTACAAAATGCTACGATAATAATTTTGTCATTTAATCTTTCTTACTCAGTTTAATATTAATGTGTTATGTTGTGCCACCATTCGATTCTGCAACTCATATACTAACTTCTTGTATGTGAGCCCAGTAAACTACTTGGATCAGAAAACCAGAAATGAGAGAGAAGCCTTAATCCTCGAACTCAACAGAAAAATACATCCAAACTCACAAAATATACTTTTTTCCCCTATAAAATAAAGTCACATTTTCAACCAATTGCTTATGTCTCGTTCCTTAGAAAGGAAGGTAAATCTTGCCCGACAGCACATGCTTAACATTTGGCCTCTATCTGATTCACTCAGTGTATCAAAGTACCATCTCAACCATATTTGATTAGTTTCATCTGACGTTATGTAACTATTTAAAAATATCCAGCTAACAATATATGAGCTACCAGTAAGAATAAAATGGTTATAAATACATAGTACTATTCAATACCAAGAAGTATTTAACATCTCTTTATTCCCGTCAAGTTGAATAGATCTCAACAACAAGCATCTATTACTTTATTGATTAATTACCACGTAACTTGAAAATATTTTGTAAATTTGTGACAGAATAAAATATTCATCCACCGTTAACAACAAACTACTGCCTTATTTCCAATTTACTCAACTCACTCGACAAATTTTCACTGAAATATTGACCAGTTCACCCAATTTTAATTCACGAATGATAACAATTTGTGATCTTAGACGTTTGAAACCCAGCTTAAATTCAGAGATACGATCTAATACAGAGCACAATACTGAAACGGAAATCTTAATGGATTTCAGTCTTTCTGTAATCAGCATTAGTTTGTAATGAATTTTCTCGTAAAACTTTCGTTCTTGAACAAATCACCTCTATATATAATTATCACGAATATTTTAAACTATTAAGTTTAATAAAATTCGGTTCTTTAACAATGAGGATGATACTGAATTAGAAAAAGCCTAGATTGATAGTCAGTTATATGAATTTCTTTTAAACCGTGTTAAATAATAATTAATATATTTTTTGTTATATCTCAGTCATTAGAAAAATTGTGTTTATGTCGTTTCGTGACTTAATGTAAGCCACTTCTTCAGAGTAAACCAATAAATGGAATTAAATCAACACAAGTTTAAATAGTACAAATGAAACAATGCAAAGTATTTTTAGCACAATCAAAATCATAATAAGCCTGAATATGTCAATGTCAGGTAATTTTTGATCAAGTTCAATTTGTATGGTCTGTCACTGTATTAATTCAAGTGTCAGAATGTGGGTATGAAAAATGTATGCATTTGTGATATAAAGTAGTGGGTGTGTGTATAAAAATAATAAATAAGGTGAAATGTGGTTCTATAACCCTTACTCGAAATTTAAGATAAGTTTCAATATTTACAAGAATACTTTTGTCATAATCAAATTAAATTTGTACATAAGAATTGATAAACTAATGCACAAACCAGAATTTGTTTTAAAAAAGCCTCAACTGACTCATGATCTTAACCATTGAAATTACTATAATATCCACAAAACCCATCCGATATTAAAAATATATGTTAAGCAATTTACATGTGTTTACTGATAGGTCTTGATCTTGCCGTTGAAATCCTGAAATAATTTCGAAACGATTCCTGTTGATATTTAAAAAAAATAAGTTCTAATCTTCATTTTTAATCAATAATTGAATAGGAAATTTTGATGAGTTCTTTCTTAAGCAATCAACTCCCAGTGATTTCAATTTCTTTCTAACATGATCATTATTATTTTATCTACTTAATCTGTATGACACATTGTTGAATATAAAATTATTTTTATTATTTGTTTCTATTCAAATTAGATTGATGAACATGTTATTTGGGAATAAAACTGCTTGATGGACATAATTTAACAACAGATGTTTGGTAATATTCGTCTATTGACGTTTAGAATACATGGTTGAATAATATTATGGTTAAATGAAAACCATATATTAAAGAAGTTAAACGAACTATAGCAACCTCAAGTAATTATTTAAAATATGAAAATTATTGTATGATTACGAAGATAAAAATTACGGACTTAGTTGAACAACAATAATTTTGATTAAACGATAATTTTAGTTAAGCAACCACTTAAAACCAAGAAATACTAGACATCTATTTTGTCCTAGTTTGGAATTCCTCAACATTGTACACCTACGATCCTACTAGAAGAGATCGAACCCGGAGTTTTCGGTCTTATTGACAATTGGCCTCTCGATTTCTGACCAAGCATCCAGTTGTATATATATTTAGCTTCAATCATTTTGCTTGTGGTGGATGACAATCACACTCTGGACATGGTAAAGCTTTACAGGTCACAGCTTCTTACTAGAACTTCTAGAATTGCACCCCGAAGTTAGTAACCACTAAATACACGAAAAATTGCCATATGCAGTTTGTGGAACTTTCTAAAATTGTATACCTAGGGGCTACTGGAAACGAGGAATTACTGAATAGCTATTTCATCCTAGTATATGTTTCTAAGGGATAATTCGTTTTTTATCGTTGTTAACAATTTGTTAAAAATAATAAAAATCTAAACAATAATTTCTATTGTAAGCAAAGATGGATTGTGCCTGGCATTGGGATCCAAGACGCGCGTTTTGTCCTATTCGGGACTCGTTAGCTGGGTGCCTATTACAGACTGATCAATTGCAATGTTAAACATCAATCAGAAAATTCAAACAAACAATACAAAATAGATTTATTAATTTTTATTATCAATGTCCCATGTTGTGAATA